GGGGGGGGGGAGGGAGGATAGAGGGTGCCAGGAGTGGGCGGAGGGCTCCAGAAATTGTTTTGTAACTGGGATTTTTTCTTCAAATTTATGACCTCTACTTACATGCCCTCCTTGAGGAGCTGAGAGTGGAGAGCAGCTACACCATTAACAGCATGTGAACCAACAATACACAAAAATGCCATGTTGATCTTTTTCTCATGACCTTCTTCTACTAGAGACATCCTCCTCAAGCGATCAAGGTCTCCTGGCCATTTCTGAATCACAGTCTTAAGGCAGATTCAAAACAACTATRTGTTACAATCACTTAGGGTTACCTGTGGACAAAGCTTTGCAGGGGCTACTTGAGCTAAGATTTAGAGTTATAGTGGTGGTGGTGGTGGTGGGAGGGGGGGGGAGGGGGGGTGAGTTAAAATTTAGAGTTACAGTATGGGGTGAGATGAGTTTACCCAACACAATTGTTGCAATTCCCAAAAGCAAATTTTTATTAAGGATTAATTCCAAATATTACATTGAGTGCATTAAGACTGCTACTTCTTTAATTTTCACAGCCTTTCTGTTTGGGAAAGATAGCTAGTGCTTGGGCAGTCCACTGAAATCTGGCAAAAACTGTGAACTCTGAAAAAAGGGTTGAAAAAGTCACTTTCTACAATATAAGTGTTTCTCTGACAAGAAGAGAGGATTATAGACATATGATAAACCTACCTCCAAATGCTTTGAATTGATGTTATAGATGATGTTCAAGTGTCTAGGAAGGATATACTCTAGCATGCTTACAGGCCATCTTTCTAGAGCTTCAGGTAACAGAGTGTGATTGGTGTACCCAAATGTATCAACACAGATCTTCCATGCCTGTAGAAAGAAATTGGATGTTGATAAAATATGAGTAAAATGTCTGTGTTTATTTAATGCAACCTCATGGTAAAGAGGATGACTTTTGTCAGTAGATCCTAGCAATTTCTCTTGTTTTCTCACTGGACTCTGAAGATGACTCCTGCTCAGGTTGTGGAAACATCAGTCACCACCAACAACAGTCTTTCTCAAGACTACACTCACCTGGATGATCACATTTCACAACAAACTTCAACACCTGGGTTCAAACCATTTACTCTTAATTTCTATCATGTTAAGACAAATACCATACCTCATCCCAAGACAACCCTTCTACATCTATAAAGATTCTCATTAGTTCAGGAATAGCTAGTGATGGATGGGTGTCATTCAACTGGATAGCAACCTACAAATAAAATTAAATAAAATTAAATAAAATTAAATAATGTAAACAAAGAGCAATTTGGATAAATTTTATGATATTAATAATTAAGTCATATCTGTGATTTTTTGCTTTAACTATGTCCAAATTTAGTTACTGTATTGTAATATTAATATATTCCTTAAGTTCAATAAATTTGCTAAATGTTCAGTTGAGTGGTACGAGTTACAAATACAGTCAACTCTTGCTACAGCGGACACCCTCTGGACCATCACCTTGGTGTCCGTAATAGCGAGCGTCTGCAATAGGGAGAATTAATTATGGTCATTTCTTTGTCAGTATTTTTAGCCGAGGATTTTCCTCCTGTCCGCAATAACAAGGTGTCCGTAATATCGGGGTCTCCACAAGGCGAGAGTTGACTGTATTGAGTATAATGGTAGTGTGATTGTTTGCACCTGCAACATTTGAGCTCCTGCCCCAAGAAAACCCCCTTGCGCCCTTTAAGCCAAATATATATCTTCACCAGTTCAAGATGACATAAGTAATAGGGTGCCAAGACTAACCTTATCTGCAAAATGTGAAAAACCATTCCTAGTAGGAGTTTTTTCACCATACTTTGAGGCCTTGTAACGCCTTACAATGTCTTGTAGTGTGGCTGACACCATTAAGTACTCCTGTTTGAGTCTCAACTCCTTGCCCTCAAAAAACTAACAGTAATATAACAAACTTGTAATTAAACATAATAATTATTATAAAATAATACATTACTTATTTATAAGGCTACTTCAATTAAAGCATTTTCTCCCTTCCCATAAACTGCCAATAAACAACCACCCATTATTAAATTCTGATATGTTCAAGAGCAATATAGAGACCTAATTAGCATCAGGTTTACCACTTAAACGACGATAGATCAGGTCTAGAAACATGCCCACAAACATGTAGAAGGCATCAATGAAATTCATTAGGACAGCTTTTTTTCCAGCAACCATTTTGTTGCACCTTGCTAAATGTTGAACGTGGTACGGAAAATGCCTGATGCTGGAAAGAACGTCATGCTAAAGGTCTCTAATGTATTTTAGCACAAACCTCAAAGCAACTTTAAATTCTCAAATTCCTTAGTAGCACTGGTAACATTATACTTGGCTGATAAAGTTTAATATTGAATTCAAAATAAAGTGCTTACTGCCATTTAGAACAAATTCTGTGTTACTTACATTATCATTAGGGTAGAGTACTCTAGAGATGTTCTCAGCATGGTTTCTATCACAAACAGCTTTGATGTAGTCACCATCATTGACTAAAATCATGAAACAAAAAATATTAAATGGTAACACAAAAATCAACAGGTGGTATAGAGGTAATGGCATAATTTTTGCTCTCTCCTTTATTTACAGGATTATCTCCAGGCTCTCTAGTTTACCGCCTTCTACAAAACCTTACAAGCTATAAAAACTCTAATTTGCTCTGTGAACTAGCCATGCACTGACTTCGATCAGCCCGGCAGTTGACAGGGATTACAGTGTTAAACTTTTGCAGGTTTGACATTATGGTGGTTTAGCAAAGATCACACTGTGAGTAACACAGATTACAAACTATTAGATGTGGTACAAAGTACCAAAAAGATGTACATGTATAAAGAATATAAATTTCTAAGATTCATCTATCTATCAAATAAAGTAATTAGAATAACAGCATTTGGGCTACCTGTGGAATAAAACACAGGAATCCCAACCCAATGGGCAGACCTACTCACAGTAAGAAAGATCAAACTCTTTGGAAGACTTGGCAGACCAGAGCCTCATGGTGTTACAAGTATTGTTACAATACCCAGGTATTGGCTGGTCATACGGCATGGCATATACGATCTGTGGATGGACCCACTTCTCTTTCCCATTCTCGTCATGTTCTATCTTGCCGTAGAAATGGATTGGTATCATGTATTCTGGTCGTTCCTTTTCCCATGGATTGCCGAATTTTAACCAATCATCAGGCAACTCAACCTGTCATAAACAATTTGACAAAAAATTTAATTATGAGAAATTCAAACAAAACCGAAAGCCAGTAAATGACTATTCATCATGATTCTTTCCTGTGGCATTGTCCAGTTGTAGGGCGTCCAACTGGCATCCAGGAGGTCATGGGTTTAATTCCTATCAGGGACTCTGATTTTTTTCAGAGTTCCCCCTCAGGTATTGACAAATGATAAATTATTCTATACTTCTTTCCTAGCTTATAAACAAAACTGCATCAAAACTTTCTTTTTTTAACTTAGAGGTTGAAAGATCAATCCATGTAATATTTTAAAAATGCATAGTAAAATGTTAGATTGCATCATCAGTATGGTTGGACATAATAAAGCATTATAAAATAACTGTTATGAATGTCGTGTTATGATTGGTTTGGAGCGCATGCTTTATGAGAGCACATTGCACGCACGCGCACTTTCCATTGCCGCGTCATTCCTATCTATTAATGTAATTTGTATTTTATAAAAGAAATAAAAAACTTGCTTGCTGTGCTGTGTGCAGTCATAAAGCACTTGGGAATTGGCAGAACACTTGAGAAGTGTCCAGGAGCACTCCGCTACGCATTAGTGCTTCTCCTAACACTTCTCTTGTGTTCTTTCAACCCCTGCGTGCTTTATGACAGCATACAGCACGCGCATGCATTTTCTATTTCTTCATTATAAATAACAATACTTGTGAATGACATCAAAAAGCAAAGAACTTTGAAATATTATCAACCATTCCTGATAAAGGCTCACAGCTAGAAGCCAAAAATTTGAAAAAAAACGTAAAGAGCATAATGTTTTTTATAGATCAAATTTAAACATGTTTTACTACACCTGTTCTAAATTAAATCGACTTTATTTTCAACAAAGCAAAAACTTTCCAGTATATTACCTGGTTTCCTTTGTCATCGATAGCTTGTTTAAAGATACCATAATCATATCTAATGCCGTAACCGTATGCAGGGTAACCCAGCGTTGCCAAGGAATCAAGGAAACAAGCAGCTAGTCGACCCAGTCCACCATTTCCCAAACCTGCATCTTCTTCTACCTCCTCAAGTTCTTCCATCTCTAGACCCATCTACAAATATGTATTTCACAATATTATAGACTTGTCAATCTTTAAAAACATTAATGGTGCTACCAAATCAGAGATACAGATCCCTTTATAGGTGTTGGTCTATATTTGCCTATCTCAGACCATTATAATTGTTATTCTCTTAAGAATAAAAATCTTTGTTTGAGTTGTATACATTTTCATGTGTTAATCTCTTGATCAACCATCATAAACAAAAAAATTATACTCTAGGGAATGAATTGTGGTCTGAAATGAGAAGACATTTAATGGGGCTGTATGTTCACTAGATAATAATTATCATTTTCCAATAAATTATTTTACAATTAATTGTTGCATTTCACTTGACATCACTTTCTTTCTTATGCAGAGAATTCATTAGCTAAACCACAAGTTTTCAATAGCATTCTTTTGGGATGACAGCACATTGGGATCACTCAGTGTTTGCAATAAACACTATTTTAGAGCAGACGATTATAAGATTCAAACACTTTTATCAGCTGAATTCTGGACATGACCCATACACAGGTATATTGAAACTTTAAGTATTTGTGGTTTAGAGTTTCTTAGGTTTGGGATCCCTGTGGCACAGTCAATTTTTATTAGTTCAAAATTACCTCCTTAAAATTTTTGTTCAAAGTAGTGGATCTTCAAAAACATTTTATCATAGAATAAAGATTAATAGTCTATTGCATGTCTTGAAGTGTTATAGCTTATGCATGATAGAAGTGGGTTCCCTGTGGAAGAGAGAGAGAGAGAGAAGGAGCTCGTGGGAATGGGACAGAGTTGTTATAGGGAAATTCGAATGATTTTATCTTCAGGACAGCACATATGTGTAAGTATATTGATTCCGTTTTTCTTGGACAGAATATATTCTCATATAAGGTTTTGCAATTGTCATTCTAGCGAATCGTGAAAACCTGAACTCGTGAAAACCTGAAATCGTGATAACCTGAAATCGTAAAAACCTGAACTCGTGAAATTAATCCTGTAGCGTGGAATTGTGAAATCATTGACTGACTGAACTCTGAATAAACTGATAATCTAGAACTTGAACGTCACGCATCTTGACTATAGTCCTCGGGATAATCTATAACCACTACATGAAGTGTTTTTCCCCTGCTATATTTATAAGATATCATTCTAGTCATTGTTACAGTAGCTGTAAGAGGCTGTTGTTACCTGATAAAGAGCTTCATCACATTCGCCTTGCATACCAAGGTTAATCATAGTATTACTGAGAGCTCTACCCATATAGTATTCCAGTGATAGATAATATACTCTCTGTGGATAAAAAGAGCCAATAGTGGTTTTCAATAATAAATTCTTCATAATTTTAACAGCACTTAATACATACCCCATGGGTATCTGTTAGTACTGTGATATAACAAGCTGGGAGGTATAAAGGACTAGAGAGGAAGCTGTTTTTCTCCTAAATCAGCCCAAAAATGCACTGCAATGCCAAGTTGACCCAGTTTTTTTAAACCTTGGGATGGCTAACAACATATGGTAGTCAGATGTATCTATTTACATGAGATATTTTATAATAGCCTTTGCTGTAGCTTCTTAAAAAATCATTTTCAAAAATGTTAGACATATGTTTTTTTCCCAAAATGTTTTTGAAAATATTATAATATTATGTTTAAATTCTTTATATTGGGAAAAAACTGAATTCATAGAAGATATAAAATCTAATAATTGTTTCAAATGATATAATTATTCACTTATTAACATCAATGCATTTTTCCGAAACATTTTAGTACAATTTACAATTAACATATGGTCTAAAAGGATCTGATTGGAAAAACAGTAATGGCTATTAATGTATAAAAAAGGAAAAATGAAAGCCTTTATCAGCAGCTGTTTCTGTCTCACTATAAGTACCTTATCTTTATGTACAGATTTTGTACAATTTTGTAAATCTTCAAAAACATGATGAGATAAAGACAATTCTATAGACTGATCCCCCCAATTTTTTTAATCAAAGGAGACAAAATATCAATATTGACATGAGTTCTGAGGTACAGAATGACAATAAATTGACGTGCAGCCCAAAGATTGCACAACAAACATGCCTTAAAAGCTATTTAAGCTTTTCTGGAGTGGCAGAAAAAGTTGCATTATAGGGCTGTCCTAGAGGATGATTTAATAACTCATCCTTTTTTCACTTGCTGACAGTGCAAGTGATAGAAAAACCTTAATGGTCCAATGAGCATATCATATGGAATGATAAAATGTCATCAAAATTGGTAAGCAAAATTAAATTAATATTATGCATTGTACCAATTGTTTTTCCAATTTAAACATTAAATATTGTATAAAATAGCTTTATCCCCTCAAAACAATACTCATATTTCCAAAACAGCTAACAAGGAAGTAAAAAAAAAATACTAAATGCAATAATAATTATTTTTCAATTAAAGTAAGCTTACGATATTAGAATTTTTTCAGATAAATCTTATAGTGCTTGATATTTAAAAAATAAATATTAATACATATCGTTAAATGAAAAGAATTGGAGTATTGCTGAAGAACCAAAAAGGTTTTCTCTAGATTTAGATAGAAATATCTATTTGTTTAAGAAATTCAGACGTGTACATGTGCACGTCTTGTAGAACAAAAAGTCTGCATGGGCAGGAAGACATTTTGGATATAAAATACACAATAACGAAACCCCTATGGCAGATAAATTAAAATTAAATGGAGGCCCTTGGTTCCTCCTCTTCTCAACAAAAATAGAAAGGAATAAAGAAAGGAATAAGCTAGTAATTAAATGAACAGAATACTTAGTTAGTTTTATCACAAGCGAGGATTTGAAGTCCTAGGTCAAAGCGAAATTATCCTGCAGACTGAACCCGGGACTGAAGCACTCACTACAGCTGGACTCGCCTTGAGTTTCCCGTCATCTGTCCCTTCCAGACGAACCCAAAACCAAGCTTTCCCATAAACTATTGCACCTTTTCGTACCTTAGGGTCCTTCTCGTAGTAGGTTTGCTGTGTTCGTATCCATTTTCCAACCAGATGGTCCTTGACAGTGTGAGCTAGCGCAAGGTAGTAGTCCCTTCTTGTTGCCACGTTTCGATCCTTGACTAACGAGTAATGTAGATGGCGATTGAACGATTCTTTCAAGTCATTCACTCCTTCGATGACTGGCAGCTTTCTCATAGAGATCTGCCGTCTCTTTTCTGCATCCGTATGCGGTCTTTCACCCATTATGTTGGAGTGCAAAGAGCTGGATCAAGTATTGGTTTGCACGTTCTTCGCCCAACCAAAGGAACTAGGCTTCACTCGCTAGTCACCAGACTACTTACCGTGAATTGTCAACAGAACAAAGCGGGAGGGGCTTGAATGACCTTGAAGGGTCGGAGGAGTACCTTCGGACGGGACTTTTCAGTCATTTATGAGGGCAGTCCCTCAAAAGGCTAAGACCCTAAAAATGCATAATAAAATGCATAATAAAATGCATAATAAAATGCATAATAAAATGCATAATAAAATGCATAATTGTGCCGGATTTTCCATAAGCTGATTTTTTTATTATTTTAATATCCCCCAAAATTTTTCCCTGATATTCCTCAAACGCGAAACCCCCTAATGAAGGCTTTATTCCTTGGTTCTATTTTGCAGGTAATAATGCTATAATTTGAAAATGACGTAAAAACATTTACAACGTAACGGTCATGTCTTGTATTGTGCCTTGCGTACGTCGCATTGAAAGAAAAACCAAAACGTGAGTACTATAATAAAATATGTAGAACGTTTTATGTTGTGCATGACCTTTTGCCGACTGCATTAGCATCGTCCATGGTGCATTTTGGGGCTTGTTATGCTACATGAAACAAAAACTTTGCCCAACTTTTTTGAAATACCAGGATATATCGTACTGTATAAATTGCCAGAAAAAGATATAACTAGCTAAAAACTAGTGTGAGCTGCGTCGGTGTTTCTAATGCAACAGTAATGATAAAAAGGTAAATTATACACCGTGAAAAGATGAAAAAACTTACTGACGTTTCGGACGCTAGTCCTTCGTCGGAGTAAAAGAGAAAGAAGACATAAATTGCCGATAATTTTCCTTAATCAAAAATAGGCATGATTACTAACCGTTTATCTTTAACGGGAAGCAATTAGAATGTATACAATACTTTATTTCGTTGATTTGTTTCTTTTTTACAAATTATCCTTTAAGGATGGTTATCGCGTGTCTTTGTACAAAACTAAATGGCATTGCATTCATTATTTACATTCAGGACTATCAATATTTGTTTATAGCTTATATTCAGTAAATTTATCTGGTGGTAACCGTCCCAAATACATCATCCTCAGGAATCCAGGGGTCAACTTCCGTCGCTTTATAGGTTGCTATCAATAGACGTCACTTCCGGTAATAGCTCTTTTTTGATGGCTTGTAGAATCCTGGAGGTTGTTTTGATCTCTTGTTTTCTGGTTTGATGTCGTGAAAATAGTCAAATACAATATTTTGATATGTTTTGACTTAGCATCCGCTAGTTGCCCCCAGTCAACTCCAAAAACTCACGTGATTGATAGTAAGCAATTTCTCGCTACCAGCGAAGGAAAAGCAACGAGCCACACTGGGTTCCTGATGATATCCCAAATATTTCCATGCCCTACAATATATTACCTAATATAAATTTCGTTCTCACTAGTATTACATTTTAGAAACAATTCGTCTGAATACGGCAGTGATTACGTATGGAATGAGGGATGGAAAACTTGTCTTTATGCCCACCGTCTCGCATCTTCAAATTAAGAACCACAATTCTATGCGCCACGAAGCAGTCACAGATTCTGGCTAATACGCATGCGCAGATTTCATTCTGAGATTAACTGTCCATCCTTGAAACAAACGCAGCCACACCCTGTAGGGCAGACATTCATGGTTTCAAACCACTTAATCATGTGATAGGTGTGTCCTCCATGACCACAGGCTATGCATATGTTACTGGCACCTGGAATTACGAAAACAAACTTAGTGTCAAAGCATTTTTTTTTTATTTCCCCAAATTTCAAGATTTCTTCAGAGGCGTATATTGGGGGGGGTTTCGACTTTCGACAATCAAAATTAATCAAAACAAAAAATTAATATAATTTTAGACTTGAATATAGAGTCTCACGCGCTATGATTGGTCGAGTGGCCGGTGAATACAAGGCGATATTCACTTCGTCTTCGGTGAATAATTGTTGAATAACTGAACATTTAGGTGTTACGTGCAATACGTTTTACGTATTTCCGGCAGGTAAAAGTGACGTCATACCTCTAACAGCCACGTTACATATAGAGCACTGGAGACCAAACCTCATACACGAAACACAATGCGCACCAATGATCTTCTGTCGACACTTAAAACATCGTGTACTGAATTCTGCAACAATAAATGATAACACTACGTCAGATAGAACGGCTTTTTGGGCTTAAAATATCTTAAAGAATAAAATGGCAGTAAAAGTGTTCTGTGTTTATCGACAGAAGATGACTACGCAAGGTAGGCAATCTGGGTTAGTTTAAGTTCCATATCATATGAAGGGAAGAATAGAAATCGATAAGACAATCAACTACAAGAAAGATAACGCAAGGGACTTTGGGTTATTTTGGGTTCCTTATTACGAGAGGGAGAGAGTAGACATGGATATGGTAATCAACAACAATGAAGATAACAACGCAAGGCATTCTGGGCTAGTTTAGGTTTAGGAGAAGCAGAGATTAGAAACATATATGGTAATCAACCACGATGGAGATAAGTACGCAAGGCATTCTGAGCTAGTTTGGGCTCCATATTACGAAAGGTAGACAGTAAAAATAAATATGGTATTCAACCTCAATGAAGATAACAACGCAAGGCATTCTGGGCTAGTTTAGGTTCCATATTAGGAGAAGCAGAGATTAGAAACATATATGGTAATCAACCACGATGGAGATGAGTACGCAAGGCATTCTGGGCTAGTTTGGGCTCCATATTACGAAAGGTAGACAGTAAAAATAAATATGGTATTCAACCACAAATAAGATAACAACGCAAGGCATTCTGGGATAGTTTAGGTTCCATATTAGGAGAAGCGGAGAGTAGAAACATATATGGTAATCAACCACGATGGAGATGAATACGCAAGGCATTCTGGGCTAGTTTGGGCTCCATATTACGAAAGGTAGACAGTAAAAATAAATATGGTATTCAACCACAATGAAGACGAGTACGCAAGGCATTCTGGGATAGTTTGGGTTCCATATTACGAGAGACAGAAATATCGATATGTGCCGTAATCAACCAAAATAAAGATAACRACGCAAGGCATTCTGGGCTAGTGTGGGTTCCACATTACGAGAAAGAAAGAGAATAGGTTGATAACAAAACGTCCAAACACCTTACCTATGCCTTTTCCTGTCTCTTGTGGCTTACTTAAAAATTTCAAAACCTCGACTCTCTTGTCCAGCATGTTCCATCGGTACAGAACATCAGAGTATAGTCTCTTGAAGTGGTCGTGGAGGGAAACTTTATTGGACTTGGTCATTCTATGAATTATTAAAAAGAATGTCAATAGCAATGTCAATGACAACAATAAGCTAGTTACTCTCCTTGACAGTTCTAAGTTCTAATTGCGCATGCGTCGCATCATTCCAAGGGCGGCAAGAGACTTGCATCAAGCAAGACAGTGAATTTCCAGTTAAGGACAAACTGTGTAGCACTTTATGTAGAGTATATAAATGAAAAATATAATTTATATGGTACTAAGTGCTTAAAAATAGGTCTAAAAAACAGATGTTTCGAGGCGTTCGCCTGTTCATCAGTGTTGAAACCCTATAATAATAATAATAATAACAATAATAATAATAATAGTAATAATAATAATAAATCATAATCTAATATAATTATGATATTATTATTATTATTACTATTATATAAATAGTAACATATTAATCCACAGCATTTATATCGCTTAGTCATCTCGCAATAGACCTTATTCGTGGTGTGACAATGTTTTCCCAATTCAGCGTGACGAACCTCCAGGGGATTCATTTTCTTTTGTTTTTACTCTTCGAAAACTTCATGAGTATCCCAAAGGATACGAAGGGAATAATGATGATACCCCGACGAGTTGCAAAACAATAGCTTTTCATTTCCCCAGAGGTTTGTCACGTTCAATTGGGAAAACATTCTCTCACCACGAATAAGGTCAATTGTGGATGGATAAGGATTCAATATTTCAATAGCCCTTAATGGCCCGCCAATAATATTGACGTAGTACCATAATCAACCAGAATACAGGATTTGTAATAACCAACCCAGCCCCTGTAGTCTAATGGATATGACGTCGGCCTCCTAAGCCGAAGGTTGCGGGTTCGAGTCCCGTCGGGGGTGACTTGTCGTTTTTTTCTCGATGCTAAGTATGAGGAATATTTGCTCGATTTTTGGCTTTTTTCTAGCTTGTTCTTTTCTCCTCTTAATGCTATTATTTCTTTATTTGCTGGTTTTTTCCCCCATGTGTACCCTGAGCTACCGCAGAGGTTCTTTCGTCCCGCGAAATCGAAACCTATGGTCGAGAGAGCCCCTGGAACACAGGGTAAGGTCATATGCGACAGGCAGCTGATGAATTTAGAAGCAGATTGGCAGAGAATTTTACTAGGATAATCCAWAATTTTGGAGGTATATACATGATTGAGGAGGCCAGATGATGTTGACGACCATAATGCTATTGATGATGATGATGATGACCAAAACGATATTGGTAATGATGATCTGATGATCATAATCATGATCATCATGATGACGACGACAATGATAATGGTGATGATAATGATGATGGTGATGATAATGATGATGGTGATGATGACGATGATGATGATGACGATGATGTTGATGACGATGATGATAATGTTGATGACGATGATGATAATGATGATGAAGATGATGATAATGATGATGGTGATGATGATGATAATGATGAAGATGATGATGGTGACGATGATGATAATGATGAAGATGATGATGTTGATGATGATGAAGATAATGATGAAGATGATGAAGATGATGATGATGGTGATAAAGAGGCAAAAATATCAACGACGACACAACAAGAACCGTATTCCCTTGCTGACTAAATAGCGTCAGTGAGCACTGCTGCAGACGTGATTTTATCATGAATTAAATTGTGCGCAATGAACTTGCTTTAATTTATGCGAATTAAAGTCCATCGCAATAAACCATTAATGAGCATCAAAGAAGAACGTCGAAGTGTCCAGCTATCTTCGTGTACACTCATGTACAGTCAAGCCTCTGTAGTCTAATGGATATGACGTCGGCCTCCTAAGCCGAAGGTTGCGGGTTCGAGTCCCGTCGGGGGTGGATTTCATTTTTTAACTAGTGCATCTTTTAAACACGTCATTCCATTCATTCAATCGGCCACTCAAAGAATCGACCATTCTATCTATCTCTTTTACTGACCTGCAGCTGTTTTCGTGTTTTTTCCTTAGTTCTTCCATCAAATCTTTCTTGACAATAAACTCTGGAGGAGTCCAGCTATCATATGGCATAGATACTTCGCTCCAAGGCATTTCACTTGGGCTGGGCTCTGTTGTATTAGCACTGCTAGCAGCTGACTTCGTTCTCTTGATGGTCTGAGCATTTAAAAAACGTAATTAACAACATAATGGAAGCATGTTTACTACTCTTAAAGGAATCGATATGACTTTTGGCCAACTCTTTGGAATAAGCTTTCGATTCTGATTCCCATTCAATGGTTTATATTACATCAGAATTTTTGATTTTTCGGTAATTCCGAAGTTTCTGTTTCTAACTGAGATATGGTGTCTATTGATGATAATGATGAATGATAACTGGAAATGATGAATCCATCCATGCATGACGTCAGTAATACTACTTTGAAAACTACTATTTTCCCCTTACGTCATCATGTCCACAAATATTCCAGTGGGTCACGTTTGGTACCTTTGTCAGCGTTGTACAGGTCCCAAGCCTGCGCCTACTCGTCAGCCGAAATTCTATTTTTGTATTATTGTATACTTTTATATTTTTCTATTATCGTCTTATATAGTACCTTTAACTTCCTATTATTGTGAAGGCATTTAACCCGTGCAATAGATATTAGAYTCATATACACATTGGGCGACCTTAATTCCATTGTTTTCTTTTGTGCCTTTTTGACTATTATACGTTGACTAGTATTTTTTATTTCACGGGTTAAATGCCTTCACTCTACATAGAGCGGTTTCTATTTGAGTGTGAAACGAACAGCACTGCCTTACATCACGTACACGGTTCGACATGTAGCAGCATTGAAATGGTTTCCCATTTTCTTCCAGTAATTCATCCAATCAGAACGTGTAGTTATGGTTAAGCTAAGTATCACCTTATCATAAACAGTCTGTTACTTACAGGAAAAGCTGTTTCGTAGATAATTGGAGGAGATGAGCTGATCAAAGTCGTTCCAAAGGTGAAAGACTTGCTGCCTGGTAAGTGAGCTGCGGGGAGGACCTTTGGGGGTTTGAGGGGTTCTGGTAGCGATGGATGGCACATGATACAGGCCAGCATACCAAGTGTTTGGATATCATGGATCTTTAGATAGTAATTCATCCTGAAAAAACAGCCATGCTGCATTCTTAGACGTGGTAGAAATTATTTTTTTAATGCATAAGTGTATAGAGCATGCGTACGTTGAGTCGTAGACGCCATCTTGGTTGACGATAATAAAGCATTCCTCTTTAGCTTCTCTTGTTGCATCAACCAAGATGGCGGCTGTTTTATCGTTATTTATATCTCAAGGGATTTTGAGTCACAAGGTTGCACACACTCTATACGAGCGATACAAGTAAATATTCTTTGGGCAGGGGTTTCGAAATTCTACGGCTTAAACTACCATTATAGCGATTCCCAGTCACACGCGACCAACTGAGACCTAAATCACAAACGATGATCTTGGACAAACTCAAATCATAGTCATAGCGATAGCTTGACTCAATTTTTCGTTTTCGATGAAGGCCTAGTTGGTCGCGTGTGACTGGGAATCGCAGTTATAGCTTAGTAGTTTGTAAGATGTTCACTTACACTCTTCGGCTAGTTCATGACCCTCTCCTGTCATTTCAAAACTCAATGAAACCCCCTGCATGGGAGTACCCGAATGAAAACGATACTGGTCAAAAGATATTGTTGCACTACGAAACTCTAGAACTGTCGTTGGTAACATTTTTTAGGTATTCAAACAAAAGTTTGCTCGTTTGACGCAAAACATTTTTGCTGAGACTGAAATTCAAACGATTTTCTAAAACGGTGAGGGAAATTACTCTACAGACAAAATAGAGTTTTTAGCGGCAATTCGTTCTCTCGCCACTGTATACCAGTCAAAAGCTTCACTAATTGAATCGGACGAATAATGAATACGATTTTTTTTATAGAGGGAAGAAATTTATTTTTTGCGTTGTTTTGGTTTTTAAAACCGATATTGGTCTATCACTAATATACCACTAATAGATCAGCCAATCAGAGCGAAGGATTTCTAATAGACCTTTAATAGGTTTATACTAATTGTCGCACCAATACGCTGCTGGATGTGCCTCAGTTGTCCTAAAATAGGAAAGAACTAAAGTAAACATTTGAAGTATACTTACAGCGACTTGATAAGGTCCCTTCCAAAAGGGTGCCTTGCCCATGGAGTTATATCAACAATCTCTGCAAATTGAGCCAATGTCCTGTCCAGCACCAGTGCTAAAAGGGACCATGTTTGTACCAAGTCCCTTCGACCCACAGACATCGCAGCTGATTGGTTCTTCTTGCATATTTCTACTACGTCATTTCCTTCAAGTCTACAGTGAATCAAGGCATTAATTAAATTAATAATATTGATACTTGAATTGGATATTGCATAGCCGTATAGAAGCCTTGCATGTGACGCCTAAGGAGGACAAAACGGAATATATCAAATCTCCTGAGAATTGGCGGGAAACCTAATGTTATGTCCTCCAAATTGAGCTACTTTGACGTCACGCTAGATGCAAAGGGTCTACAAAGAGGATATCTAGCTTAGCAAACCTATTTCAACGACTTTAGCTTCTAAAATCCAAAACGTGTGGCAGGGCACAAGCTATATCTTCACATGTGAAGATAATTTCCCGTATTTAAGCATCACTATGACTTAAGTATAATCATTATTTTTCCATACCTGTTTATGTATATTAAAATTTTTATATGGGTGAGGGGATGTGGCGCATTTAACTAACCAAATGACCATTACAACAAATGCCCAACTATGTTATTGAACGATAAATACGGAGCCATTTTAACGTCAGGACTGGACGCACAGCAAACAAGGGGGGAGGGGTGTTCCTTTCTCAGCCCTTAGTTCTCCCTCACTGCAACGGTTCGAATCTACCAGCCTAGACTTATAAGAAAGCCTTCTTCAAGTTGCCTTGTACTTACGTGTAAGCTTGAGCTAAGGTTTGATGTAAAGGCATAAGGACGCTGACGTCACGAATCTCCACGATACCGGAAGTAGAGGCGTTTCGGCTTGACATATGACGGTTTGATCCTTCCTGTAAATACATTAATCCATGGAAATAAGGGGAAATATTATCTATTCCTGCTATTTAGTAAATAATGAAAGGGACTCAATTGTGAAGAGCATTTGTCAGTCACCCTTCTGGGTTCCTGGACTTATCCTCACATATGAGAAGAGTTTGTTGGTTCTCCGTCTTAATACGACGGTTCTCTGGTTTTCCTCCCTCCGCAAAACCTCACCAGCAAAATTCTAACTCTATCGGTGAGTTAACCGTACCCTGACTTTGAAACCTAGAGATTGGTTTAATAAATTGAGGTTGGGAATTGTAGGAAACATTGCTAAGTTCAATGATTTCTTTACAAGCGTCGTGCAATGCCGTGCCATGCCGTGCCGTGCCCTTGAAGGCTTCAAGATTATCCTAAAAGTAAAGAATGACAGCGCCCCACACAGCGACTGTGCGCCAATACAAACGTTTGCTATTTTTTTTCTATTGCTCGATGCAGTTATCAAAAACAAACCTGGCTTAGCGTTCTCAATATTCCCTTTCTTTGAGATCCTCCAAGCAACTGCTTGCCAAAGGAACTGAAAGTGTGTGAATGTCTTGGGTTTACGGTAAGGGTGTTACTAGACTTGATTAAAGGTGGCAGAGCTGGTCCGCTTCCTGGACGACAATTGTACGCAGACAGGGCTGACAGAGATCTGAAACAAAAACGATAGCAGTGAATTGCAGTCAACTGTGTCAACTTCAGGGCTCTCTATTGCCTTTTCCGACGTTGTTGCGCGGAAAACTGGTAACGAGTAGGACGCGCACTGAATTATGGGGCTGCTATAGAGGGTACCAATTTTTTCCAAAATGGCAGCTTAGCAAATTCTGTTAAAAAACTGACCGAAAATCACAATAAATGACCTATGGAATTTTCTCACTATTTGTCACTCATATGTACTACAAAGAACAAGTGACTCGTGGAATATTTCATGGTACCTTTGGATACTGTAGTCTCGTACAAGTTGTCTAACCATTACCAACCCAGCCCCTGTAGTCTAATGGATATGACGTCGGCCTCCTAAGCCGAAGGTTGCGGGTTCGAGTCCCGTCGGGGGTGGATAATTTTGGTGTAATTTTTGAGTAATTTCATTGAAAAAAATTATACATAGAATATTACATGGTCACTTGCAAGCTATTTGTCAACAAGAGAAAATTCAATGTAATTTCTCCAAGCCTCCATGTAATAGCCTGCTTTATTTGTTCTTTGTCTGTTTGTTTGTTAGGTCGGTCGGTTGATTTTTGCTTTACTGCTTATTTGTTTTTTGTTGTGGTCTTTTCTTTTTCTTTTCTTTTCTTTTTCTTTTCTTTTCTTTCTTT